CTTCAGTTGTAATAACTCTTCCAATATAAAATTGTATTTAAAAATAAATAAATAAATCTAAAAATTACTATAAAAAAATTAAACATATCCCTTATTTGGAAAGAGTCTGTGAAAATAATACTGTTTTGGACAATGAAAATAGATTTATTTAGATAGAAAAATAAAATAATTTTTGTGATATTTAATAATAAGAACTACAAACTTTAAATTAAAATTATAATAACATTGTATTAGATAACGAAACATAAAAAAAATCCATTGTTGATAATTACAATTACTAAGAAATTGAGCAAAATGTTTTAAAAGATGGAGAATAAAAAAGCTAAATTAATTAATATAAACAAATTCAAAACGATATCAATCTTTGATTAAAATTTTTAAAAATTTTATATATTACATTTCATCTGTATTTAATATATTTATTGTAAATGTTAAAAAAAAGTATTTTCTAATTTCCTAATTTTATTTTTTGAGTGTTGATGGAATTGAGTGCTAGCTAAAATATGAAAATTTCTAGTAAATATTCTAAAACTTTGCAAAAGTAAGAATCAAACAAACAAAATAAATAATATCAACTAAATTAATATAAAACTAACAACTAAAAATATGATTCTTCCTTTTTAACTTTAAAGCAGATTTTTAGAATTTGAGATTTAAATCAAATTAATTAATCCATTTTTATCTTTATTTTTTAATTTTGGATTGATTAAAGCCTATTAATCAGAATCAGATTTAAAATCTAGCTATCTTTTTACTGTTTAAAGTTAGTTTTCTGTTGCTATTGATTAGTGATTTTCGTTTTACAAAAGCAAAGAGCTTTTTTGAAAATTTGTAGATTTATTAAATTATTTTTATATTAAACTTACAGCTTTACTTGCTATTCCTTACTGGTTACCTGTAAATCCAAGTTTATCCTCAGTTGTTGCTTTTACGCTTATTCTATCAGATTCAATCTTTAATGTATTAGAAATATTTTATTCCATTTAAACTATATAATCAGCCATTTTTGGAGCCTATGCAATTATTACAGCATCTATATTTATAATTTTAATTTAATCTTTTTCCATCATTTTTCTAACTATTTCAAGCAGCTTCAAGCTTGAAACATCTTTATATTATGGAGTATTGGGAAAGAGTTTTCCTATATCTCCATACTTGCATGCTCCAAGCAAAGAATCGATAATTGAATGGACTAATACATCTGCATCAGAATGCCCATCCAACCCTTTGCTATGCTTAAGCTCAACTCCACCAATAATTAATTTTCTTCCACTTACTAGCCTATGGACATCATAACCTATACCTACTCTTTACTCAATATCTTTAATTGACTCTTGCTTC